GGGGCAGCGGCGCCAGGAAGGGCAGCAGCGGGAAGCGGCACACCTCCAGCCCGTCCAGGTAGCGCCGGTCCAGCTGGCCCAGCCCGCGCTCCTGCGGCACGTCCAGCGCCATCAGCAGCCCTGCGCCAGCGGCTCCGTGGTCAGCGGCCGCCGGGCCGGCCGGCGTGACCCCTCCGCCCGCCGGGCCGCGCCCGACCTTTGCCCGGTGCTGACGTGTCACGGCCGGACACCGGCAAGGGGGGACCCCCGGACCCCTCTCCCCCAGCCCCGGAGCCCCCCCGGTGCCCTCCGCGGCTCCCCCAGCGCTCCCGAGCCCTCCCGGTCTCCCCGAGGTCCCGCTCGCTCTGTCCCCCGGTGGTCCCCCGGTGGTTCCCCGGTGGTTCCCCGGTGGTTCCCCGGTGCGCGGTCTCCCTGTCCCGGTGCCCCTCGGAGCCCATCGGTCCCTCCATCCCCCGGTCTCCCGGTGCCCCCGAAGCCCCTCCGGCCCTCCCGGTTCCCCGGCACCCCGCCCGGTTCCCCGGCCCCGCTGACCGAAGGCCGCGCGGAAAGCGCCGAGCGCGGCGGGGTCCTGCGGCCGGTGCAGCAGCCGGACGAAGCGGTGCCACCGCGTCAGCTCCCGCAGCTCGAAGCCCAGCAGCCGCCGCGCCGGCCCGGGGCCGCCGCCGGAGGACTTGGCGGACCCGGTGGGGCTCGGCGGAGGCTCCGCCGCCTCCCCCCGCTCGGGCCGCCTCCGCCGCGCCGGGCCTGCCGGGGGCACAGGTCGGGGGTCACGGTCGGGGGTCACAGGTCAGGGGTCCCGGTCGGGGGTCACCGGTCGGGGGTCACGGTCGGGGGTCCCGGTCGGGGGTCCCGGGGCCCCGGGGGTCCCGCCCGCCCCGCTCCGCACCCGCCGCCGCCGCCGCCATCGCCGCGGCCCCGCCCCCCTGACGTCACCGCGGGGCGGCCAATCAGCGGCGAGGAGGGCGGGGCCAGTGCCACACCCCCGCCAAGCCACGCCCCCAACACATCGGGAACCGAACCGGGACCGGGACCGGGACCGGGACCGGAACCGGGACCGGAACCGGGACAGGAACCGGGACAGGAACAGGGAACCGAACTGGGACCGGAACCGGGAACGGGAACCGGGACAGGAACCGGGACCGGAACCGGGAACGGAACTGGGACAGGAACCGGGACCGGAACCGGGACCGGAACCGGGACAAAAACCGGGACAGGAACCGGGAACCGAACCGGGACCGGAACCGGGACAGGAACCGGGACAGGAACCGGGAACCGAACCGGGACCCGAACCGGGACCGGGACCGGGAACGGGACAGGAACCGGGACCGGGACCGGGAACGGAACTGGGACAGGAACCGGGACCGGAACCGGGACCGGAACCGGGACAAAAACCGGGACAGGAACCGGGAACCGAACCGGGACCTGAACCGGGACAGGAACCGGGACAGGAACCGGGACAGGAACCGGGAACCGAACCGGGACCCGAACCGGGACCCGAAACGGGACCGGAACCGGGAACCGAACCGGGACCGGGACCGGGAACGGAACCGGGACAGGTACCGGGACCGGAACCGGGACCGGAACCGGGACAAAAACCGGGACCGGAACCGGGACCGGAACCGGGACAAAAACCGGGACAGGAACCGGGAACCGAATCGGGACCGGAACCGGGACAGGAACCGGGACAGGAACCGGGACCGGAACCGGGACAGGAACCGGGAACCGAACCGGGACCGGAACCGGGACCGGAACCGGGACAGGAACCGGGATCCTGAACCGGGACCGGAACCGGAACCGGGACAGGAACCGGGACCGGAACCGGGACCGGAACCGGGACCCGACCCGGGACCGGAACCGGGACAGGAACCGGGACCCTGAACCGGGATCCTGAACCGGGACCTTGAACCGGGACCGGAACCGGGACCCTGAACCGGGACCTTGAACCGGGACCTTGAACCGGGATCCTGAACCGGGACCGGAACCGGGACCCGACCCGGGACCCTGAACCGGGACCTTGAACCGGGACCCGCACCGGGACCTTGAACCGAGACCCGAACCGGGACCCCTGAACCGGGACCTTGAACCGGGACCCTGAACCGGGACCCTGAACCGGGACCCCTGAACCCGGACCTTGAACCGGAACCCCTGAACCGGGACCCTGAACCGGGACCGGAACCGGGACCGGGACCGGAACCAGGACCTGAACCGGGACCCGAACCGGGACCGGAACCGGGACCGGAACCGGGACCTTGAACCGGGACCCCTGAACCGGGACCCGAACCGGGACCCTGATCCGCGACCTTGAACCGGGACCCTGAACCGAGACCCGAACCGGGACCTTGAACCGGGACCGGAACCGGGACCTTGAACCGGGACCTTGAACCGGGACCCTGAACCGGGATCCTGAACCGGGACCCGAACCGGGACCCTGAACCGGGACCCTGAACCGGGACATTGAACCGGGACCCGCACCGGGACCCCCGGCCCCGCCCCGACCCCGCCCGCCCCCGGCCCGCCCCCGCCCGGCGGCGCCGCTCCCGGAAGCCCCGGGCAGGTGGGGCGGGTCCGGGGCCGCCGCGGGAGCGGAGCCGAGCGGGGCCGGACGGACCATGGTGGGCCCGGGGCACCGGGGGGCACCGGGGGTACCGGGGGGGCACCGGGGGGCACCGGGGGCACCGGGGGGCACCGGGGGCACCGGGGGTACCGGGGGACGGGCCCGGGGGGCACCGGGGGGCACCGGGGGGCACCGGGGGGCGGGCCCGGGGGGCACCGGGGGGCACCGGGGGCGGGCCCGGGGGGCACCGGGGGCACCGGGGGGCGGGCCCGGGGGGCACCGGGGGGCACCGGGGGCACCGGGGGCACCGGGTGTGTAAGGAGGTGCCCATAAAGGGTGAGGGGCGCCCCTGGGGTGCTCAGGGGGGATCTGGGGACACTGGGGTGCCCGTGGGGGGCTCGGGGGTGCCTTTGGGTGCCCGTGGGGGGCTCGGGGGTTCCTTTGGGTGCCCGTGGGGGGCTCGGGGGTTCCTTTGGGTGCCCGTGGGGGGCTCGGGGGTGCCTTCGGGGTGCTGTGGGTGTTTGTAGGGCGCTGGGGCGCCCCGGGGCTCCGTGGGGTTCAGTGGGTGTCTGTAGGGTGCAGTGGGTGTCTGTAGGGTGCTGTGGGTGTCTGTAGGGTGCAGTGGGTGTCTGTAGGGTGCTGTGGGTGTCCGTGGGGTGCACTGGGTGTCTGTAGGGCGCTGTGGGGGTCTATAGGGTGCTGTGGGGGTCTATAGGGTGCTGTGGGTGTCTGTAGGGTGCAGTGGGTGTCTGTAGGGCGCTGTGGGTGTCTGTAGGGTGCTGTGGGTGTCTGTGCGGAGCCGCGGGGCTCCGGGCGCCCTGAGCCCCGGCCGTGCCGCAGGCGGGGGTCCCGGCGGGGGTCCCGGCGGAGTCCCCGGTGGGCGCGGGGGGCGCGGGCCGCGTGCGGGCGCTGCAGCGGGAGGTGCGGGACGTCACCAGCGCCATGAGCCACAACGTGGAGCGGATCCTGGCACGGGGAGAGAACCTGGAGCAGCTGCACAGCAAGAGCCAGGACCTGGAGGCCACGGTGAGGGGCACGGGAGAGGCACGGGAGAGGAGCACGGGAGGGGCACGGGAGAGGAGAGGGGCACCGGGCAGGAGAGGGGCACGGGAGAGG